CTGACCCCGTCCTCTTCCTGTCTCGCAGATCAGGATGACGCCTGAGGCACCGGGTCCAACACAATCTTGGGTCGGGGTCCCTGGTGTAGCATTTGGCCGACCGAGAGCGTCCCCGCGTCTGCTGCGCTTTAGCAGGCTGAACAGCGGTGACAGGTGCTGGTTTCGTGGGCTGCTGAGTGGGCGCAGACTTAGGGCGAGCTGAGGCAGCAGCGGAGCTGGAGCGCTTAGGCAGGAAATGTCGCATAGCCTGGGATGATTTCTGTGCCTCCGTGAAGCTCTCAACGAATCCTTCGACCGCTGAGCCGAAAAGGTCTTTGGGAGAGACTGGAGCATCGAGGAAGGGGATCTTATCCGCGTCCTTAATCTCTGTCAGCGTCAGCCACAAATGGCGCTCGAGCACCACAAGGCTGGCCATCGATCTCCCGATCGCCTGGGCGGTGGCCTTGGTGGTGCGTAGAGCTAGGTCAGTTGCACTCCTCAGATCCCTGAGGGTAGCGGGGTCCAGGCCAGACTCATCGGAGGATGCAAGGATTTTGGCCTGGAAGACCTGGAGGACCGCCATTGAATGAAGCGCCGAAGCCGCCTGTCCAGCTGAGGTGTAGGCACGTCCAAAATTACTTTATGACAAAGTAATTAGTAGAAGAAATATTGAGATACTTTAGTAAACTACCTTTAGTAACTACCAATACCATATTGGGGAAAAGCTACTTGTCACATTTATAACCTTAGCTAAAGGGATAGTTCACCCAAAAATGAAAATTCCAAACCTGGAACAACTTGAGGGTGAGTAAATGATTACTGAATTTTCATTTTTGGGTGAACTATTCTTTAAGTAAAAGGATTATCTTGCATACTCTAACATACTTATTGGTAATTTATTGGTAATAAGGTATTGAGAGTAAAAGTAAAGGTATACAGTATTGTTCTGAAAAAATAATTAGTTAGGATGGTTTTGCATTAATATTACTGCTGCACTAATGTGTATGTTGCATTTTACTTCTGATTATGTTCAAGGTTATTAAATTTAAAGTTGCCTACTAAATATACTGTTGGGTAGTTTAATCTACAACAATGCATCATGTTGTAAATCCATATTTTTATAGTGTTGCTGTCTGTGAGAAAAAAAGAAAACTCAGTACTTCATATTTGTTCGAGAATACTTAACGAATGTACTTCCTTCCAGTCCACCTCTGATTATTTTGAAAATGAAAGTATCAACATTTTGTCAGAATATTAACACATTTTTGCTAACTATATCAAAGGCTGCATCTGAAGGACTCGGACCGTCAAACAGAGCACTGTTCAGCTGTGACAGCTGCCGCTGAACATTGAGCTGTACAATGCTCTATTTTTTTATTCACAGTTTTATTTTTGCTAACCTGTCTACATATGATCACAATGGTCAAGACCATAAACTATATAAAATCGCACCTTTGTAAGATATCAGTCAGCATTTGAACTGCTATGTGTGTGTCTGTGTATTTTGTAGTTTTCATATGTAGGCTATCATTACATTATTCAAGTAAGCTCCAAGCCAATTCCTGCATTTAAACTTGTAATCCGACAAAGGTCGCAGCAAACCAGTGTAATTTACCTGGCCTCGGTTTTGGCTAAGCCTGAGGTACATCACCTGTCTCCTCCATTATGACGTAAAACATAAAAACTAAAATTTGTGCCGCAATTAGGAAATCCTGGAGCAAATTCGGAGGCGTGGCTTTCGAAGTCCGTGCCCTTCGAAGTGTGTGCACTTAACTTTGGGACACAGCTATACTCAAGGAGATTTAGCTGTAGAGTACATACTCTTTTAGGGCTCGTTAAGTAAGTACTTCTTGAAATTAAGTACCTGAGTATGCGGTTTCAAACGCAGCCGGTTTGTCATTGGTCACGTGATTTCTACGTTAACGACACAATTCTCGAATCGAGGCTTCATCTGGCAGGCCCATTTATTCCCAATAGTATGTTCCTCCACACTTCTCTTTATTCTCGACACAAGCTCTGATGCCTCGGTTTAATTGTCACATCACTACTCGGCAGGCCTCTACTATTTCTTGGACAAAAGTTTGTCATAAAGGTTGCTGTCATATTCCATCCGCATGATAAAAAGAACTCAGGAACATGGTAAAATTTACTTTGTTTTCTCCAGTGTCCAGATTATTTGTTAACTCTGAGTTTTCACAGATGACCAATATTATGCATAGTGAAGCCATGATAAGCTAATTGTATAAATTGCATTTGTTTGTTATATGTATTAATAACATAACCTATATCAGAGAATATGTTTGTTGTCTGTTGTAATGTTTTGAAAAACAAGCTTGGACTTTTTTTTTTCCTTTAAGAAAAGCATGTAGTTAATTAAAATCGAGAAAATGTACCAAATATGTTATGCAATCAATAGAGAACACTTCAGTAGTTCTGTCGGTATATGTTTTTGTTAAATGTGTTAGTGGAAATATTTTAAGTGAAATTGCACATTTGATAAATGAAAAGTCTGTTTGGATGGCTGTGTTTAATTGTCATTGACACTGAATGTGCATTAAGTGTAAAAAGAAAAAGACATGCAGCAGTGAATAAAAGATACAGAAACAATAATGTATAAAGCAGACTTCATGTTTGGCTATTTACAGAAACGTAAAGCCAGTCCTACATTATATTGTTAACTTTTTGGGGGGGACGGAAGATTAAAAAGATGTATGTAGATATCACAGATCATGCATTATTGTTATAACACCATTTATGCAAAATTACTTTGTAAATTACACATCATGTCTTACATTTCTACTGAGAGTATAAAAAGGAATGTGTGGCAAGTTCTTTGAGACAAATCATCTGATTTTACAATCAATTGTCGAAAACCCAATATAATGTAAGTAAACAGAGTTAAACATACCAACAAGCATCTGTTGATGGATTTCTTTTCTGTATAGCTGGCCATATGTACATGCAACCAAGTATATGTAAAACTCAAATAACATGTTAAAAATTAAATTACATATTACAGAGTACATTAAAAGACAATGTAACATTAATTGCTGAAAACCTGGTATGTACATTGTACATTGTTACAAAGCAGTACTGAAAATTAAAGCATGCTTTACCCCATAAACTTATGCAGCATTTAGCCTTGAACTGAAAAGCATGACCTTAAGCGATTATAGGCTGTTTTTTTTAAGTATACATGCTGTATGTAACAAGAGAGTGTTCTTCAGTAATCTTTACTTTGGGTTTATTTGCCATGAAAGAACTTTGTGCTGCATAACTCAGAATGTCTTCCCCCTACAATAATGAGAAAAAAAACAAAGATCAGAGAAAAAAAGAGTCACATAACATGTAAAATTGAGTCTTAAGAAGACACATCAGCATAATAATTTGCACTTAATAAGACTGACCGTATAATTCTAATGAATAATTATATTATTTGAAATCATAAAACATAAAACGTAATCATAAATCATAAAACATAAAATAACTTACTTGACACTCTTGAGATTTGTGGATTGTGGGTGAATAAAAATTTTTATTAAAAAGAAAAGAAATAAAGTATATCTTTAGTGTCAATTGTTGCATTTTTATAAACAAGTATATAGAAATATGTGATACTGTATATTAATAATATATTTATATTATGTGTACCAAAATTAAACCTTACTTTTATTTGGATCCTGACATGGTTTTATGGCCAGAAAAAGAGCTAAAGTCAAAAATATGATGTTTAAAACTCCAAGAACAAGCAGGGTTGGATTCACATCGACACTCTCTGAAATGATCAAAAATTCGAGACATAATTCAGGGTGCTTATAGTAGATCAGTTCCTTGGTATTATTTTCCCTGATATTTGAACCAAATATTCCACCTGAGTGAAAACATCAAATATTTATCCAAAAACCTTACCTCTAAAATTTAGTTCAGTTCCTTTTCCAAACAGTATCTCTCCACACGCGGCCACAGCACAGTAGTAAATCCCAGCATCAGAGTGACTGATGTTGCTCTTGAAGAGATTGTAGACACAGCTCTGTGTTTGAGACTCAGTGCTGTTCTCACACTGACCATTTCTTTCTCCTTTGGTGTAAAGGACTCCTTGAGATTCTCCCAAGCTTTGCCTGAACCAGTAGACACTGTGTTCTCCTGCACAGCTCTCAGTGAAGATGCTGCACTGCAAACTCACAGAATCCCCTGGATGAAGCTTGTCTATCGAAGACTGCTGAAGAATAATGTGTCTGTCCACAGCTGCATCTTGAAATGCGACATAAGTGGGACAGAAATGGTAAGGACAAAAAATCAATTACCTCCAACCAAACAAAGCTAAAATAAGCAGGGAAACATACCTTTGACAAGTAATCTGGTTCCTGCACCCATTCCAATGGTGTAATATGATGAAACTACACAGTAATATGTTGCTGAGTCTGAAGGTTTTGTCTTTAAAATGGTCAGATTAAAATGATCATCTCCTTTAATAACATTAAACCGATTTGTTTTATCAAAGTCCTCATTCCAACTGGGTTGTTGATTTAAATATAAAGATACAATTTGTACGTTTTTTCTATCAGCCGTCTGTTTAAACCACGCTGTTGTCGTTTGCAGAAGCTTTGAAAAGGTGCAAGCGAGGTTCACATCTTCTCCGGCTTGACCTAATTTTACATTATCCTCCTGAACAATATCTGCATCAGAGGAGCAGACTGCAAAATGAAGAAGGTACATTTAGTGTTATATAGTGATCAAAGTTCTGTTGAATTGGAAAAAAAAGATTCAAATATGTTTACCTATTGTTGAGGAGAACAAAATAGTTAAATATATCATGATCACTGATGTTCCAAAACATATTCTCATGTTTTAAATTCACTGAAGAAAACAAACAAACAAAAAAATCCTAAAAAAAACAAATATTTCACACCAGATAAGTAATAGAGGTGAATCAATAAACTGTCTATACCATGTTTCCTTCAATCTCCGCTTCAGACAAATGAGAGACACACACACTTCTATCTTATTTATTCAGTGCTCTAAGAGTTGATTGGTCACTTGAGAAAGGGTTTGCACTGAGCTGAAACCACTCTGTGACAGCAGCCAATCAGCTCATGTCATGGTGGAGTTTGCAATGATACACTTTTTTATTTTTTTTGTTGTTTAAAAAGTCTATATCAGCAGATTTACTGAAAATCACAGACAAAGGCTTCAAGACTATCAATAATAATTTATTATTATTATTTTTTTTTTTTTTACAAAGTCTGCTTTTTAAAGTTAAGGGTATATGACATTGCTGTTGTAGTTACATATTAATGTTGGCACATGGGTCAGATCTGAGTGTCAGTGAGTGTCACTGTGTAGTTTCCACTTTCTGTTTTCACACCTCTTGCTGCATCAAAACCACAACATGTTAAAAAAAACAGCTATCTTTTCATTAAAAAAAAAAAATTATTT